GGGTTTTGATGGGGGGGGGGGGGGGGGGGGGGGGGAGAGAGGTCGAACCGCCCTTTCTTGCCGATAAAAGGTCCACTTTGGGTAAAAATTGATGTACATGTAGGAACTCGAGGGTAGAAGGTCCACTTTGTAAAAACAGACCCCCCCTTGCAACTGCTGACAGGCCTAGAATCTGTCATTTATCGGCTAAAATTATAGTATATTCAATATAAGTTGATCAGTAAATCTGCCCATTATTCGTTTGTTCTTTCACTGGCTCATTCATTCATTCACCGTTTGTTTGTTAGTTCAACCACCCATCCTTTAAGTTTACGGGTAGAGTGAGACAAAAACTCCTAACTTACTGTCTTTATGTTCATGTTTTGGATAATCGATAAATCTTCAGTGTTCACCAACTTAAGTCCTTTGCATATCACAAGTGTCATGTTACCGATGACGCCATAATTACGATTTTGGGGATAAAATGGCAAAAGTCGGTTTCTTCAATCTCTTTTTTATATCACGAACATCGTTTTAACGCCAAGTTTAAAATCCCAATGAGAACTTTAAAACCTTGCCAGTGGTTTTACCTAAAAGCTGTTGTTCAGTTTTAATCGTTAATGTTTCAAATAATGACTTTGTTCAATGAAACATTGTAATTTTGTGCCACATTGAAAAACATTGAAAACAAAACGCTGGCACGAAATTGAAGTACCTACACCTGTCGTCACCCATGCTGATTTTCGTGATAAGATCCCATAGCGATTGCTAGCTCTTCTCAAAACAGAATGCTGCGAAAGTGACAATAAACAACGGGGAATTAAACGCCAATATTTTACATTTCGGAGGGGATTGTAGGTACATTATTGAACTATTGGATGTTCGAAAAAAGCTCATTTTTTTTTCGGTGTTTTGATGATTACAAACCTTCTCTGTAAAGGTAATCAATCCGTCAGTCAGTCAGTCAGTCAATCGGTCAATTGATTAATTCACATAACTATCTTTGCAGAATGATGTCCTTCATGCCAGGAATCATAGTCCCCGGAAGTGAACGATACGGTCGCTACAGAGTCAATAGAGGGTAAGCACAGTAGGTCGAATTATTGGGATTGACCACCACTTGCCGCGAGAAAGGCAAAACATAGCAGCATTACATTGGGGCTTGTAACCTTTCCATATAGGGCACGTTTCCAATGAAACTATCGTTCCAAATAGATCGATCCAACTTTGCAGGGACTCTCGCTGAATGCAATCAGATTGACTGAATGTTACCCCTCCTGGAGCAGCTAGGGTGATTAAAACGAAGTGAAAGAGTTTCCAGAAGCCGAGCCCCTGCTCGAGGAGGCGTGCCATTCACGTAATCTGACTGCATTTGGTGAGAGTACACGCGGTGTTGGATCGATCTACCTAGAACAACATTTTTATTGGGAACGCAGATGTCACAAGATGCCACAAGTATAAACTGACGCACAGACCAGAGATGATCACTAAACACCTACGACACTTCTGTTCGTTGAAATTAATACACACTCAAAGTTGTACAAAGAACCTCAGAAATAAGACAAAACGAGCTTTGATATTCTTAAGAATATTAATATTTTATACTTAACAGTGTCGTGCGCGTACTTTTTTTCATTTGGTACTGTAGGAATGCTTATGAACAGGTAGTGAGTTATGGCAATCAGCATTTGTAAGGCATCCATGATGTCTTTGAAATCTCTTACTCGTAATGTTCACTGTAACCCGCCTAATGGCAACTAAACTTTGTTTTTTTTTTTGTTTTTCAGTGTCCGTAGAATGTCCAATGACCTGCTGAGCGCCAAAATCCATGCGCTGATATCGTACTACTTCGACAGTGTGGGCCGCGAATTGAACAAGGAAAGACATTTGTACTCCAGGTTTACGGGATAGTGCGAGAGGTCCGACACGCATGCGCGGCAGTTTCGTCTAATTTTGGGAATATGCGGGATGAATATTATGAAAAACCGAACTCTATCTGAAACAGACACAACGCTGTCGCTATGTTTCTGAATTTAAACTTAGATTGACGCGTCTATAGGGTTGAAAATCGATTATAGCGGCAGCTATTTTTGGCATTTAAAACAAAATTGCTGGTACTTACGACCACTTTTTAAAACAACTTTTTGAAACAGCCACAGTTGACGGGAATACCACTTTTTCGTTCACCAATATTGTACTATAAACATATGGGGCGTTAAATATATATATATAAAAACAACATATTTGAAAAATAATTTACAATTTAGATGTGGGCTAGATTGCATGTGGTTTATTTGCCACGTTATAATATCGGTGGATAGTTTTTGCCCAGCCTTCTCAGAGGCGATTTTAACAATGCTGAGACAGACTTGGGGAGTGAAGCGATTTCTTAATTTTATAGTTATGTACATTGCACTGCCATGTAACGCTAAGATATTTTTTTCATATTTGAAGGTGTTTTAGGATGAAATATGCTTCTTTTCGATGTGAGGTACATTTCTGGCTGTACTCCATGTACCAAATTTACAGCAAATTTTGGGGATATCTATGTGATAGTTTTCTGTTTAAATCTAAAATTATGACTTTATACATAACAACAATTTGTCAAATTGCTTTTAATTTGCCAGTTTCTGATAAAGTAGGTCCTGTATTTCGGGCCTTTTAGGGTTGCCCTGCTATTATGGGCCTTGTTAATGAGCACTACGTGAATGCACATTTACATATAGTATACTTCGAGAAATTGAACTATTTTTGTTTATCTTTCTTGTTTAGATTAAACCGTAGGTGGATCGACCGTAAACAATTATTGTCGTATATAGCCTGTACTCGTTCTTTCCAATTTGCTGAAATGCATCTGTCTATTGGCTAATACCGTATCGCGATTTCAGAGGTTTTATAAAATTATAATGCCTTTATTGATACACCTTCGCCTTCTTTAACATGTGCTGTGTAATTCACGATTAAATAATTTGTTAAAATAGACATTAAAAAGGGAAGTAAGAAGATTAATGGTGCTGCATATGGATCTTGTTTGATCCTGTATAAATCTATGGCTTCTTGTACCCAGAGAGACACAATAAACGAAATAAAACTTCATATTTGAACTCCCATTGTTGTTTTCATTTCATATTTCCAAGTCTTATTTTAGCATCAGGGCTGGCTGTGTACTTTAGCTGTAAAATGGTGATCATTGTGATTTTCTACATTATAATATTAATATTTAAATGACTTTTTACAGATATTCACAGATATTTCTCTAGCGCCTCTGCGCTAATTTCTGTGTTGTGAGACTTTTTCTCAATAAATAAATAAATAAATAAATAAATAAATAAATAAATAATAAACGTCAGCATGTCTTTGGTAAAAATTGCTGTGCCAGTACTTGTAAGTTACCGTTTGCTTTCAAAGTAATCTTGGATGTCTTCTAGAGATTTCCCCTTGGTTTCTGGCACTACCAGCAGAGCAAAGAGAACACTTAGAGCACAAACTCCAGCAAACAGCCAGAAAGCACCATATGAGTGCAACACGAGTTCCAGCCGCGGGAAAAACTTTGTGATGAGAAATGATGAAAGCAGAGAGACGGCAACCCCTGTTCCGACTCCAGTTCCTCGCACTTTCAGAGGAAAAATCTCAGAGAGAAGAAGACAGGGCACCGATCCCCAACCAAGTGCAAACCCAATATGATAAGCTATAAGACACGTGATGGGCAACCAGTGTAAGGAAGCGTCATTTCCTTCAGCTTCAATAAAAAAATATACCCCCATTCCTGCGCAACTGACCGCCATGATTAATCCAGAAATCACCAGTAGAGGGCGTCTTCCAAGACGGTCTACCAAAGCAGCCGAAAGTACAATTGGCGGGAATTGACAGAGTGATACAAAAACTGGAATCAGGTACGAATCACCTGAAAAACCCGCCGATTTGAAGATCCTTACCATGTAATACGTTACTGCATTAATTCCCTCTGCTTGCTGCAATATCATCAACACTATACCAATGATAAATGGTTTATAGATACTGGCTTTAGTCCAGTCAACGCACAATAATCTCCCCCCAAAATCGTTCGTTGTCTTTTCAGTTTTTGCTATCATGATATTGAGTTCAGTTTCTGACATTTCGTAGTCACCGCGTAGCCATGTCAAAGCGCGCAGAGCCTTGGTTTCGGTGCGGTAACGCAGCAACCACGTGGGTGTCTCTGGCATAAACGTGATGGTGATTAGTAGAAAAATGGCGGGAGCAGTTGAAGCAATGGCCAACCATCTCCACGGGAGAGCCACTCCAAGAGCATAGACGACGGTTATTCCTAGCGTGAGAAACAATTGGTTTAAGGTACCCAGAATACCTCTGTGTGTTTTCGATGAAATTTCCGCTATGTACAAAGGCACCACCATCGTCTGCCAGCCAAGGCCGAAACCAGTCACTACTCGGCCGCTGTACAGCATGGTTGCATTGGGGGCGTACGCTATTAGAAGCCAGCCGAGGGTGTAGGGCACTGAACAGAGCATAAGGGCTAGCTTTCTGCCTGCAAAATCTGCGAAGTAGCCGCAAGCTGGACCACCGAAAATGGCACCGATATTCACCAAGGAGCCAAACCATGTTAACTGCTCGTTTGTCAAAAGGCCATCAGAAATTAATTCTGGGTCGCTAGGAGATGTATATCCCAGGTTTATCCCGAAAGCAATAGATCCAAAACAGGCGCTAAGCACGGCGAGAAGTTCGTTGCGATGGATTCGCTTTTTCCCACGTGACTGATCGAAAGCACCCTCAGCTTGTACTGAATATTCACAGGTTCGTTGTTCGTTCATGGCAATGTTTCTCCTTTCACTGTTGTGTCGAATCGGAAACCGTGTTCTTAGTACCAAATTTTGAATATATATATATATATATGAGGTATGGCACTCAAGACACAGTTCTAACGCTGTTAAGTATTTCTCGACTCCATCATCTTGGCCTATTTTAGTAGGGCATTTAGACCTCTCTGTTATTAATCTTATCTTATTACGGGGTCGAAAGAGTTTCTTATCGGAGTTTAATAATTACCCAAAAGTGGTATAAGCTATTGCTATTATACAAAACAATGTGTATCTTGAATAAATCAAGTTATAGACGATTTTTATATAATATATGGAATCTTGACAACAACACAGCACATTAGGTTTCCGTTCACTTAGTATACTTAATAGACATTATCCAGATAGATAAAAAGAGCTGGCCTCCCCGACGGGGAATTGAACCCCGGTCTCCCGCGTGACAGGCGGGGATACTCACCACTATACTATCGAGGATTAGCTGACCATTATAGTATTAGATGAGAAACACTTGAGAAGACGTTCCAACGCTTGAAAATACGTTGCAACTGTAACTCTTAATGCAAAAACCTCTTAATAACACTACTGAAGTTGCAAAGAACTTGTCTCTCTCTCTCGCGCTATCTTCTCATCTCTGTCTTTTCTCTTAAAATGTGAGCACTGTTATGGGTAGGACATCAATCAAAATAAATAAAAAGCAGAACGTCGTAATGAAGTCTGTGTTGTTTCAAAATGAATATTTATAACATAAGAGTACATTATTTACTTGCTGTCTAAAATCAGTGATTTTAGAAAAAAAATATTGCCTCCCCGACGGGGAATTGAACCCCGGTCTCCCGCGTGACAGGCGGGGATACTCACCACTATACTATCGAGGATTGGCTACAGGTGTTCAGGTGTGAAATATGAAATGTTAATGAGTAGATGTGATATATGATTGTGTTATATGATTGTGTTAGAGGAGACATAACGCAGCATTTGATAACTTCTGACGTTGCAACTTTTTTTTAGAAGCTGATGTTGCAAAGAACTGGTTCCTCCCCCTTTCTCAAGTTTTTTTTCTTTGTTCTTCCTCTTTTCATTGGGAATTTGGCTAAGGTAGATTTAATCAGGGCATTGTCCTGGGTTAGGACATCAAACAAAGTGTTGCATGTTGCATGCAAGCAACACGTTATTAGGGTTAAATTTAGAGGCCTGCCTGTGTAAACGTTCTTCCATTTCAATGACCATTTTGGATTCCAAGAAGAGTATAACTGCGCCTTTTTAGGAAAAAAATCTCTGGAGCACCGTCATGAGATATTCTGTCATGGAAAATGCCTCGATCTAGAAAAAACATTGCAAAACAATTTATGTCCAGAACAAGTTTTTAGGGTCAGCTGTCTAATACTAAAACAGAAGAGGGAATGTGGGTTTATTTTTGAGGCCTATTTAATGTTGCTAATATACAGGGACCAAGAATGAGAACGACTGTCTTTTAATTATTTGAAAAAAAACGTGCCTCTTGCCCAGAAAGATTTTTTTTTACATAAATTAAAATAATGAGGTCATTATATCCCTGTTTAAACAATTACTATTTGAATTGGTGTAAAACAAACGTAATAATCTTTCCGCTTAAGGAAAGTGAATAAATTGCGCTGAGTAATTCAACGAGTTTACAAAGAGAATAATGTAAAGATGTAGTGTCAGGATATTTCGTGAAATATAAATTTTACAATCTGATTTCTCCGACACGTTGTTTATTACTCGGTTGTTCTCCTTGAAAATCAGACAAAGAACTGGACTAAAAAGAGAAGGAACCTTTCCACTATGTTGACCATGTGTATACGGAGGGGGGGGGGGGGGGGAAATAGCACTTTTAAGAGGTCATTATTGTGGCATACTATCCATAGATAAAACAAACTAAACCTTCCCTAATATCAGGGAAGGTGTTAGAAAAACGTTAAGCCTCCCCGACGGGGAATTGAACCCCGGTCTCCCGCGTGACAGGCGGGGATACTCACCACTATACTATCGAGGATGTGATGCAGGCAGCAGTATGATATCCAGGTGTGATATATGATTGTGTTATATGATTGTGTTAGAGGAGACATAACGCAGCATTTGATAACTCCTGACGTTGCAACAATAATGGTTAAACAGACTTTTCTGAAAGGTGATGTTGCAAAGAAGTTGTTTACTCCCCCTTTCTCAAAAGTTTTTTCTTTGTTCTTCCTCTTTTCATTGGGAATTTGGCTAAGGTAGATTTAATCAGGGCATTGTCCTGGGTTAGGACATCAAACAAAGTGTTGCATGTTGCATGCAAGCAACACGTTAGTAGGGTTAAATTTAGAGGCCTGCCTGTGTAAACGTTCTTCCATTTCAATGACCATTTTGGATTCCAAGAAGAGTATAACTGCGCCTTTTTAGGAAAAAAATCTCTGGAGCACCGTCATGAGATATTCTGTCATGGAAAATGCCTCGACCTAGAAAAAACATTGCAAAACAATTTATGTCCAGAACAAGTTTTTAGGGTCAGCTGTCTAATACTAAAACAGAAAAGGGAATGTGGGTTTATTTTTGAGGCCGATTTAATGTTGTTTATATACAGGGACCAAGAATGAGAACTACTGTCTTTTAATTATTTGAAAAAAAATGTGCCTCTTGCCCAGAAAGATTTACCTTAAGGTATGTTTTTTACATTAATTAAAATAATGAGGTCATTATATCCCTGTTTAAACAATTACTATTTGAATTGGTGTAAAACAAACGTAGTAATCTTAGGGAAAGTGAATAAATTGCGCTGAGTAATTCAACGAGTTTACAAAGAGAATAATGTAAAGATCTAGCGTCAGGATATTTTGTGAAATATACATTTTACAATCTGATTTCTCTGACACGTTGTTCATTACGCGGTTGTCCTCCATGAAAATCAGACAAAGGACTGGAATAAAAGAAAGAGAAGGCCCGTTACACAATGTCAATCATCCGTAGACGGGGGGAAAAGAATAGAAAGTCATTATTGTGGCATACTATGCATAAATAAAACATACTAAGCCTTCCCTAATATCAGTGATGTTAGAAAAAAAAGAATAGCCTCCCCGACGGGGAATTGAACCCCGGTCTCCCGCGTGACAGGCGGGGATACTCACCACTATACTATCGAGGATTGCCTGCAGGTGTTAACATGATGACCAGGTGTGATTGTGTTATATGATTGTGTTAGAGAAGACACAACGCAGCACTTGATAACACCTGACGTTGCAACAATAATGCTAAAACAGACTTTTTTAGAAGCTGATGTTGCAAAGAACTAGTTC